ACCATCCTGATATGGGATCCTTCATTTACCATGATATACACATACAGATATGTATGTCTATTGTTATATAATCATTCATTACTGATTCCCTCCCCTCCCTTTTTTTTTTTTTGTTACTTCAATATGTATATGTGCGTACACAAATATCCAGGTATTTTAGAACTCTGACTACGTACAGTCCTATGCCTATCTGATGTGTTTTTTTTATATGTTTTACAGGTAATCCAACTCTTATTGGATTGATCATTGCTCATATGTAGTTTTTATTTATGTTATATTTTATTTATTATGATATATGATAACAAGTCATGTGAAGGCAGTCCCCGCCCCTGGGTTTGCCAGGGACAGCCCATATGTATATATTAGCATATACAAGAGAGGTGCAGACTCTTGGTGTGTTGGCTTTGAGGAAGAGGCTGAGTCCTCGAAACACGCTAGCCAGGGTTCCTTTGTATATGGATTGAACACCGCTGTATATTGTGATGTGCCTGTGTTTTATATGTCCATTGTGAGTATGATACCTACTTTTTATCCTTTCATTAAATATTTTTTACAATAATGCACTAGGCCGGAGCACCCTCTTTTTTTGTTTTCTTTTGCATTCAGTGACTTTGGACTACCCCGGTCCGTTGAGGGCAGCAAGGAGTGCATATTCCAGGACACCAATGACACTTGCTGACCCCTGTTCCAGCATGGTGCTGCTGCAGCTGGCGTGCGTGGTTGCAGCAGCGCCATCTGTATGGCACACTTACTGTCCGCTCCCTCACTCGATTTTCGTGGGGCCGCTCGGCTTCGCCTCCTCGCTGGTGATTGGCCGCCTGTGTGCCTTTCCTGAGCTACAGTTCTGGCGCCCAGTCGCCTGTGAGGAGGCGGAGCCGAGCGGCCGCACGAACATCAAGCGGCCGAACTGAATGAACAGCCGCGCTTCCTGGACTGGATCGTCGTGGGACTGGGACCGGAGCCAGGTAAGAAACAGCAGCCCCCTGCCTGCCCCTGTACTTAGTGTCCCTTCTGTTGGAAAGGGGGGGGCGGCGGCGGCACCGCGCCACCCCCCTAAAAAGTGCCGCCCTGACACCAGCTCGGAAGTGTCAGCACGCTGCATACCGAAGTATAAGACGACCCCCGACTTTTGAGAAGATTTTCATGGGTTAAAAAGTCGTCTTATACGCCGGAAAATAAGATAGTTCTTTACAAAGAAGAGTTTTACTAAACTCCCCCATCACTTGCGCTGCTGAACCTTACTGTATTAAAAAGAAACTGCCACTTAAACAGAGAATGTTGTGGGCTCCCCCACTGTACAATGGTTCTTCTGTTGGCCCTTCATCATAAGTGACAGTGTCTTAAGAGCCAAGATCAAACCATTAAGCAATAGCAGGGGACCAGGCATCCAGTTAGGAGATGAGGTAGTGTCAAGTAGCTAGATACTAAATATGTCAAGGCTCAAAACTGCATTCTCCTGCATGGCGAAGAATTACAGTGCCTAAAATTATCAGTAGGTGGTGCTGTAAATGCTTTTATAGCTCATCAGTTTAGAGTTGGCCATAAATGAGGAGGCTAGAATTGTTGCTCACTCTGGTGTGGGGTGTTGTTGCCATTTTGCCTTCGCAGATCATGACTGATTAGCTGCTTTCCTGCACACAGGATTCGGAATAATGGCCCTGAATGTGGGAACACTCAGAGCTGTGCGCTTCCAGCTTCATATACACTAATGTTCCTTGATCTTCCCCCACTTACAGCCCTGAAGGCATTGGTTGTCCTGGGCTACCCCCAGCACTACTGTGTGTGTTGTTGTTTGTTTTTTTGTTTTTGTTTTTTTTTCCCTTCAAGAAATTTTTATGGTGTTTCTCTGCCTCCTCCTTGTAATGTCCTCTTGTGAGCTTTCAATTTTTTTTATTTCTTCCCTCCCCTCCGTTTGAAACAGTGCATGTTAGTTGCTGTCCTGTGCACTGCTGTGTGAACATTACAAATCCCATAGTCCCTAAACTATTTTTTGGACTAAGTCCCTTTACTTTACTTTTTTAGGTAACTAGGTTGCAATATATTTCTTTGTTTTGACAGTCTGTAAAATTTAGCAATGTCTCTGATGTATACATTTATCAGTACAAATTTTAAGAATTTTTTTCTTTTTCAGTTTCTGTCTATGGGTGCTATGGCTCAACCTACACCTTTTAACCTTTTAAGCCTCCCTCCCACTATAACCCCATCAACTCTCCCCTCCTCTGACCTCGCTACCGCCCTACCCCCCACCACACCTAACGTCCCGCACACTATAACCTCCCCAACACTCCGCTCCTTCAGCCTTGCTACCACTCAGGAGGTCACTAAGGTCTTCTCAGAAGCCCGCTTCACCACTTGCCCACACAACTCCTCCAGTCACCCTCCTCCTCCATCCTACGCTCCCTCACCCACATCTTCAATCTCTCCCTCTCTACTGGCGCATTCCCCTCCCCCCTAAAGCACGCGCACATCACCCCCATACTCAAAAAACCCTCCCAGGACCCCACCGACCTGAACAACCTTAGACCCATCTCCCTGCTGCCATTTACTTCCAATCTCCTTGAGCGCTTAGTCTACAATCGCCTAAGCGCCCACCTCACTGACAACAACCTCCTTGATCCACTACAATCTGGCTTCCGTCCCCTACACTCCACCTAAACCGCCCTACTCAAAATCACTAATGACCTGCTAACCGCCAATGCTAATGGCCACTACTCAGTCCTCTTACTCCTTGACCTTTCCGCGGCCTTCGACACAGTTGACCACCCCCTCCTCCTTAATAAACTACACTCCCTCGGCATCAGAGACTCCGCTCTCTCATGGCTCTCCTCCTATCTATCCCAATGCTCCTTCAGCGTTACCTATAATGCTACCTCCTCCCCCTCTCTCCCCCACGGCTCTGTCCTCAGGTCCCTTCTCTTCTCCATCTACACCTCCTCCCTCGGCAAACTGATACACTCCCACGGCTTCAACTATCACCTCTACACCGATGACACGCAAATTTACCTCTCCACCCCTCGCCTCACCCTTTCAGTCTCCGCTCGTATCACCCACCTACTGAACGACATATCAGACTGGATGTCGCTCCATTTCCTCAAACTGAACCTTTCAAAAACCGAGCTTCTGATTTTAACCCCAGCCCGTGACCCCCCCCCACACCCTCTCCATCACGACCAACAACGCCACCATCAGTCCCACCCCACAAGCCAAAGTCCTAGGTGTCACTCTAGACTCAAACCTGTCCTTCCAACCCCATGTCCAATCGTTGGCAAACTCATGCAGGCTCCACCTCCACAACATCTCCAAAATACCCCAGACACTACTAAACAACTCGTTCACTCCCTTATTATGTCACGTCTGGACTACTGCAACTCCCCTTCTCAACGGCCTACCTCATCGCAGACTATCCCCGCTTCAGTCTATCCTGAACTCAGCGGCCAGACTCATCCACCTTACCAACCGCTCCGCTTCTGCCCACCCCCTCTGTCATTCCCTCCACTCGCTTCCGATTGCCCAATGCATTACCTTCAAACTACTAACACAGACATACAAAGCCATTCATAATGCTGCCCCAAACTACCTCACCGACCTGATACCCAAATACCACCCTACCCGTAATCTTTACTCCTCACTAGACCACCTACTTTCTAGCTCCCTGGTCTCCACCTCCCACGCCTGACTGCAGGACTTCTCCAGGACTTCCCCCATCCTCTGGAATTCACTACCCCAATCCATCAGACTGTCACTTACCCTCCTCACCTTTAGGCGCACCCTGAAAACCCATCTCTTCAGGGAAGCCTACCCCGCCCTCACCTAACAGCCGATCTCCTCCACTCCTACCACTCCATCCCCCACAGCCACTTCCTCTTGTACCACTATCCCCTCCCTCCTAGATTGTAAGCTCGAAAGAGCACGGACCTTGAACCCCTCGTGTTTTGTTATGTTACTGTATTGTCTCATGTTCTGTCCCCCACTATAATGTACAGCGCTGAGCAAACCTTTTAGCGCTATATAAATACTGTATAATAATAATAATAATATTTATATTGTCACCCTAGCCTCTGCTGAGTCCATCCCCAGCGCAGGAGTACAGAATTTGCTGTGTTTGAAATATCAGCATGTTTGGAAATCATATTTCCAGTGTGTTAAATCCTTGGACCTTCTTTATTGCAAGGGTCACTAGCTTTCTAGAGTCCAGAGTCTGTCATCAAGAACCATCAAGGGACAGATATCCGCCCTGTCCATCCCTTTCCTATGGCGACTGGTGTTTTACTCCCTGATATGTACATTTTATGTATGGTACTCTTAGCAACAATACAAACAAACGGCAACTGCCCCAACCTATAACTGAGCTTTGCAGCACGGAGCACATGGAAGGGCGATGCATGTCAAACAACAACAAAGAAAAATTCCCAGCTAACTTACCAACCAGCCTGCAATCAACCGAATTATCCTGTCTAACAGTGAGAGCCTCCATAGTAGAGGCACATGTGTAATAATGGATAGATTGAGGGTAGGAAAGCCTGGAGGAAGCCCACCCCTCCTTAACAGCGCAGTGGCACACTGGACACCCAGCACATAGCACAGTGGCAGCAAAGGTGTCCCAAGTATTCTTAGCGACATCCTGTTTGGACATACTATAGGACCTACTTGTTGGGTGATAAAACTTTCTTTATGGTCTTTGGAATGGTGTGTGCTAAAATAAAGGTTTGGATTGAGGTGGATACATACTGTAGGTCAAATAGCGAGGCTGTACACAAAATCATTCTTCCAGAAAGACCTACATATAACTGTTGTAAATAGATTTTTTTTTTCTACCTTGTGGTTGACTGTAGTTAATAATCACACATTTCCAGGGTATTTTATTCTTTTTAATATCTAATATGATCAACTATGTAAGGAACACTATAATCTGGGAATCACTGCACTTTTGACTGTTTGTTTAATTTCTTCAATTTTACCCAGGTGAACCTTCTTACTTTGAATTTTGTTTATTTTTCAGGAAAAAATTTAAAAACCAGGTCAGGTGACACAGTGAGACTCATTGACTTATTGGAAGAGGGGCTGAAACGCTCTATGGACAAGTTAAAAGAGAAAGAGAGGGATAAGGTAAACTACCTTATGTGTGCATTAACAAACATTTATTATGTTTTGTGAAAGGTTTTAAAGATGGTCATTTTTGCCTCCTCCTCCCCTATGGCAACCAGCATAGAGACTGCTCCTGCCAGCTAGGGGAAATGTGAGCCACATGTGCTGCATAGAAGACATGAAAGGTTGTTTTAGACATGAAAAGTTGTATGTGCCTGCAACTCCTGGACAAGGAAATATAGCTAAACTTTTCAGCTGTACGGCCCCAGGTGGTTGTGTGCATGAGTTAATTAAAACCTTGTTAATTGGCTCTATCAAACACTTGATAGTATTGTGATAAAAAAGCTATCGGACCACAAAGTTTTATATTTAACAAACCTTTTTCATTTTCTTGTTTTGATGTTTTCTAGGTTCTGACTCCTGAGGAATTAACAGCTGCTCAAGAATCTGTTGCCTTTGGTTGCATTAAATATGCAGACTTGTCACACAACCGGATGAATGACTATATTTTTTCATTTGACAAAATGCTGGATGATCGAGGAAATACAGCAGCTTATCTTCTCTATGCTTACACTAGAATAAGGTACATGTAGCCAGATACAAATAATGATGTCATGGCTCCATAGTTTGCAGTCTCATACACAGAGGTTTTATGAGCTGTTTGTTTATATGGAAATAGGACTGTCATTCACAGAGTACCATATTAGATGCAAATATCATTTCTATGTCTATTAAGGGACAAAGGAAGTTCTCTACAGGAGGACTATACAGCCAGCTACAGGAGGATTGGACACTGGCAAACAAAAATCGATAGGCCAACTCGGGGTAACCCCTCTTCTTCCCAGCATGCCTCACTTTTTTGTTGTGTCCGGGCTGTCTCTTTTTCAGCTCTGCATTGGAAAAGCCAACCATATTTTTTCTTTGATTCTTCCATTTATTTTTTTCAATATACAAGATTCCTTGCTACAAGCTCAAGCTGAGCTTTGGAGTGTACCAGTGACAGTAAAAGTTCAGTGTTAGGTTTTTTTTTTTATTCTTTTCCCAGACTTCATTCTGGTTAGCTGTGGAGTGCTTTCCAGGTTCAGAGCTGTTGCCATTGTTTCTGCTCTTGCCCTGTTTCTGAAGACTCACTCTGTGAGAAGGTTGATCATACTGAGCACCAGGAGCTACTTTGCTATTTCCACTGCTGGGCACCTTATAATTTTCTGCTGTCTGGTTAGCTGTGGAGTGCTTTCCAGGTTCAGAGCTGTTGCCATTGTTTCTGCGCTTGCCCTGTTTCTGAAGACTCACTCTGTGAGAAGGTTGATCATACTGAGCACCAGGAGCTACTTTGCTATTTCCACTGCTGGGCACCTTATAATTTTCTGCTGTCTGCTAGTTATACCACATATGACATAGTGCTGAGGAATTGAACATTAGTTTGTGTGAGCGTTACATAGTTAATAAACTAAAGGCATAAAAAAAGTCCTTCTAGTTCAACAAAAAGACTAGCTATTGATTTCTAAAGCAGAGATGACTTAAAAAAAAAATAAAAAAAAATAAAGGCTTTTGCACAGATTGAGTTGAAGTTTGAAGGTTTTTCTGCGGCTATGGCATCTGCAGTGCTCTGTAAAGCAGCTTCCCTTTATGTTCTGTGCCTTCTTTCCTGTAATTCAGTGCAGAGCAAGCATTGCCTTGCTGCTGCACCTGCTTTTTAAAAAAAGCCACATGGAACTTTGATCTACAGTCCATTTTTAAAGCCAGCTACCTTGGTTTGTGACTACCTGAGGCCTTACCTTGTACCTTGCACTAGTTGCTATACTGACACACAGTTGCAGCATATCTACACTTCAACAGATGACTGCAACGCACCCTCTCCTAATGAATCTGGAACTTTTACTCTGTGCCTTCTGAAAGAGAGGATGTAATCAGGAATCCTGCAAATCTGTTATACCTCTTAGCTCTGTCAGGTGAGGCAGAAACCCCTTGTCATCAGAGATCCTTACTGCAGAGAAAAGTCAATTTCCGATCTCTGCTTGACCTTGAAAAAGGACAGGCCACCGATTGCAACAACCATATCTGACTAAGAATCAGGGTCTCCCTCTGATGATATTGCTTTTGAGGACTTGCAGTCTCTTACCATTCCCAGATTTACAGCAGACCATTTCGGCCCTCATGTATCAGGTTACATACTACTCTGCACCTGGAGGATCAGCCTGCTGTCTCCAGCCTTGGGTCTTTGAAGACCATCTACAGCTGCAGAGGTCTTTCCAGCATACCTGCTATTCAGGTTGTTCCTTTACTAGAAGCAGGTCCTTGGGTAATCTGCCTCTCAACCATCCTTGTACAGATAATACCCCTTTAGGTTTACAGGCTAAGCCCTTGCCTCTGGCACTCTTCAACTCTTCACCCTCTACCCTTTTTGCCACCACACAGATTATTAGTCTTTCCCCTGCCTACTTGGGGTTCCCTCAACCCAGGAGTTTTTGCTTTAAATCTTGTAACCTACCCTGGCCACCACCCTCTCTTTCTGAGCAGTTCCCTTCTCTTGGGGCATGTAGGACCTTTAGTGGTACCTATTACCCATCATTGTCATCACCCTTCTCCAGAAGAATCCTCTGGTCTGTTCAGTCAGCTGGGATTATCACTGGCTGTTCTTCAAATTAAAGGCTTAGTTCACCTTTAGTAACATGTTACACCTGTATTCAGGGTGTAAAATGTTACTAAAGCAGCAGCTCGTAGGTTAATATTATAGTGTTTTTTATAGAGAGAAAACAGGTGGCGCACACACCTAGTGCATTATCCAAGGTTTATTGTAGGAATTAAATCATAAAAACATACTCACAGACGAAGCATGTATCTAAAAAGCATAGAAAAATGACAATGGCCACAACGGCGGGCAAGGTGTTCTCACTGTCAGTGCGGTCAAATGGCTGACGCGTTTCGGGGACGAATCCCTTTCCTCAGATCTGATGACCAACCTCTGATGCTGATGTATGATGAATGGAAAGTGAAGTAAGAGCCTCGCTGTTGATGCCTATATATGTGTGTGTATGCTCAAAAAATTAAAGGAACACTTTTTAATCAGAGTATAGTATCAAGTCAATTAAACTCCTGGGATATTGATCTGGTCAGTTAAGTAGCAGAGGGGGTTGTTAATCAGTGTCAGCTGCTTTGGCGTTATTGAAATTGACAGATGGGCAACAATGAGACATCCCCAAAACAGGAATGATTTTACAGGTGGAGGCAACCGACAATTGTTTCCTTACTCATCTTTTCTGACTGTTTTTCACTAGTTTTGCATTTGGTTAAAGTCAGTGTCACTACTGGTAGCATGAGGGGATACCTCGATCCTACAGAGGTTGTACAGGCAGTCTAACTACTCCAGGATGGCACACCAATACGTGCCATTACCAGAAGGTTTGCTGTGTCTCTCAGAACAGTCTCAAGAGCATAGAGGAGATTCCAGGATACAGGCAGTTACTCTAGGAGAGCTGGACAGCGCCGTAGAAGGTCCTTAACACAGTAGGACCGGTATCTGCTTCTTTGTGCAAGGAGGAACAGGATGAGCACTGCCAGAGCCCTACAAAATGACCTCTAGCAGACCACTGGTGTGAAATGCCTCTGGCCAAACAATCAGAAGCAGATGACCTCTATCAGAAGGTCCGATGACCTCTAGTGGGCCCTGTGCTCACTGCCCGGCACCATAGAGCTCAATTGGCATTTGCCATTCAGCACCAAAATTGGCAGGTCCACCACGGGATGCCCTTTGCTTTTCACAGATGAGAGCAGGTTCACCCTTAGCACATGTGACAGACGTGAAAGGGTCTGGAGAAGCCATGGAGAACGTTATGCTGCCTGTAACATCATTCAACATGACCGTTTTGGTGGTGGGTCAGTGATGGTCTGGGGAAGCACACAGACCTCTACAGGCTAGACAATGGCATCCTGACTGGCTTTAGACATCAGGGTTAAATCCTTGGACCCATTGTCATACCCTACGCTGTTGCAGTGGGGGTCCTGGGTTCCTCCTGGTTCACGACAATGCCCGGCCTCATGCGGTGAGAGTTTGCAGGCCGTTCCTGCAGGATAAAAGGAATTGATACCAATGAATGGCCCCCACACTCACCTGACCTAAATCCAATAGAACACCTCTGGGATATCATGTTTCAGTCCATCCGACGCCATGTTGCACCTCAGACTGTTCAGGAGCTCAGTGATGCCCTGGTCCCAGATCTGGGAGGAAATACCCCAGGACACCATCCGTCGTCTCATTAAGAGCATGCCCTGATGTTGTCAGGCATGCATACAAGCACGTGGGGCCCATACAAACTACTGAGTAGTATTTTGAGTTGCTGCAATGAAATTTCAGCAAAATGAAAAAGCCTGCTGCATCTTTTGTTCACTTTGATTTTCAGGGTGTCTTTGAATTCATTCCTCTGTAGGTTGATCATTTTCATTTCCATCAAACGATAAGGCATCCTTACGTTCCTAAGAAATTACCCAGTCCATATCAGTATAGATATCCAGCTCCAGCATGATATTTTTCCCCATTGAGATCTGATGTGTTTTCAAAGTGTTCTTTTAATTTCTATGAGCAGTATGTAAAATATATATATATATATATTTTATTTTCCCTATATCCCAAATTCCTTCTATTAATTTCACAGTAAATCTAGGTTATTATTGGTTAGTTAGATTAGTAATTTTTGCTATTATCACTGTAGTTAGTTTTGGATTGCCTTCTATGTGCAGTTCTTAAAAAAAGAAAAATGCACACAGATTAAACACACACAGTGGAAAATGTATATCCTTTGTTGGCCTTTTCCATAACCTTGAAGATTCTTGAAAAAAAAAAATAATGAAGATCCTTTTGGAGATTCTCTGTTGGTGACTTTGACAGCAGTGAAAGCAGTGTGTTATATGAGCCAGCTGTTCTAGCCCCTTGGACTAGTATCTGCACATAAGATCAACATAAGATTCCCAGTATTAGTGCACAGGAGGATCAGATGCATGATTCTTGTTTTCAGACAATGCATTTCTAACATGGGGATCCCTAAATTCTGGCAGGACAGGTAGTGATGGTAAATTTCTTCAATGGGGACACAGACAAAAATGATTAGAAGGGAAATGAAATGTTAGAACTGATCATTTTTTTTTTCTTTTTGCTGTCCATAACTTTCTGTCCAGGGTAAATCTGCCCGGTGGGGTCACAGGTTGAAATAAAAGACAGGAATTTTACCGCTTCACTCTTTCTAAAACTATACATTTTGATTGAAGTTAGGTTTTAAATGCAATTCAGCCTTGCAGTTTGTGTAGCATGTTATATGCATGTGATTTCATATTAATTTTATAAGCTATATTTTTTATGCCTTCAGATCTATAGCAAGATTGGCAAACATCAGTGAAGAGGTTCTGCAGAAAGCAGCTCAGGATGCCGAGGTCACTTTGCAGCATGAGAAGGAGTGGAAACTGGGCAAATGTATCTTGAGATTCCCGGAGATTCTGCAGAAGATCCTGGATGACCTCCTTTTGCATGTACTGTGTGATTATCTGTATGAGCTGGCCACCACCTTCACAGAGTTCTATGATAACTGCTACTGTGTGGAGAAAGACAGACAAACTGGTTAGTATATTGTTTTGTAGAGTTAGAATGTATTAATTTTGTATTTTCAAGCAGCCCATGAGAAACTCAAAAACATCTTTCTTTTTAATAAGTCAATATAAGCCTAGGGCACAGTACACCTGAATTGAGCAGCACTCCATTTAGCCTTTGACTCTAGTTTGAATGGCGTGTGCTGAGAGTGAAATGACAGATGGTGCTGCCAGGAAAACAAGTAAATGTGTAGAGTCACCTGCAATTCTGATATGTATTTTTTGACTTTTTTATGAGAAAAACTCTGTCCCACAAATGTCTATGTTGTGTTAAAAAAAAAAAAAGGATTCTGTTGTGCGCCCCAAAACAGAGACTTAGCAAGGCCTGAAGCATTGACATTTATGCTGTAACCTAGTGTTTTACAATGAAACTGTAGAAGACAAACTTATTGGTGGTTCTCTACAATTTATAAAAAAACAAAAATATATAACTTGTGCTCAGACCAACAGACAGCTGCACAAAGTAAGGTTTGAATACAGGACCTGACAAATAAATTAAAAGGTGTGCTTATAATGAAATTATCAAAAATATAACTTAATCTATGCGCAGAATCAATGTATGCAACTTATTCCATGTGCAAAATAAATATTCCTGAAATTTCTGAAGACACCTTATTGGGTAGAAAAATTCAATGGGCGGAGCCGATCCTGTGACATCATCCCACATCCAGCTCTGGAGCCATTAAACATTCAAACGCTTTGTTGATCTCTGGCAGTGAGATGAGTGCTGTTGGTAAGCTGCTTTGTGTTGCACGGGAATACTGGAAAACTGAACACTTTTATAATCCTCTTTTTGAACATCTCTGCAGATTAGCACTATTGGATTGGACTTCATTTTTTGCACATTTGGATTTAGTTACATATGTTGATATGCATAATTTATTGCTCTTTGGACACTGTAATTTATTTATTTTGCACAAGTACTGAGTTACATACATTGATTCTACACATAGATTAAGTAAAATGTTTGCTCATTTGCACAGGTGCTCTACAATTACCAGGCCTATCCAGAGACGCACATTCTTTCACAGACAGACAAGAGTTGGAAATTAAGCATGGATAGGAAGTTAGGTTTCTTTGCTGATTACAAGTAAGAAGAATAATCTGCTGAGCATCTAAAACCACAGCTGCTCTCTTTGAAAGACTAATAAAAAGCACCCTTTTACAATCACATATCTGCAAGAGCTACAGTGCATTCAGAAAGTATTCAGTCTGCCTTTACTTTTTCCACTTTTGTTATGTTGCAACCTGATACTACATTTGTTTAAATTAATCAGGCTGCAACATAAAATTGAAAAAGGGGGGTGGGTCTTAGTATTTTATGAATGCAATGTATAAATCATTGTTAATTTATGCTTCTCTGTGCTGTCTACTACATTGACTAGTGACTACTTATTTAACCTGTAATTAATAACATTGATGCATGCTGAGGATGACAAACTTCACATATACTGTGCTTTATGAGAAATGTAAGCACTGGTAATGAGCTGCTGTTGTATGCTTAGGTGCAAAAGACACAGGAGTTTGACAGGAGGTGAGGACATTGGTAAAGAAGAAAAACACTAAATTTAAATGAGGAGACAAAGAAGTAAATGAGGTTATTTTTTTTTAACAGATTGTGTTTTTATTAAAACATTTTGTAATAGATACAAAGACAAACTGTCACACAGGACAGTAAATTAGGAAAAAAATACAGCTCAATACACAAAGGTCTTTAATCATTGTGACAAAATGAAAAAGTACCTAAATTCTTCTGGTTTGGCTAAAGGAAAACCTTAGATTGGGTAAATGGTACCAGGCAAAATTGTTGAATCTAAATGATGCCTGTTGGGATCTAGGAAGCAGCAGCAACAGTCATTTTTATAGCTCTGTAATGGGCTAAAGGTTTAGTTTATCCTTATGGCAGTCAGACTTTTATCTCAAGGAACACTGCATTTATCTATCTGGAAACTGAGTGGCAAATCCTCAAACTTAAGGGACTTTTACATGATGCATTTTTCATTTTTTTTTTTAATAAAGACTTCTTATTGAAGTTCTATAGGTTATTATATTTAAAAAGAAAATGCGTATTATTACAAATGTCACATAGTAATGGTCATTACAGTAAAAATGCAGTAGTTATATTGCAGTAATAGTGAGTACAGCTATATTGTATTTAACGGAGTAAAGGGCTGCATAATGGCATGGACAACTATAGAGGGAGAGTTTTAAAATATAAGCATGTCTTAATAGATGAGGTGTAAGGTCTGTATGGAGATTGAAGGGTAAAATGTATTTATACAGATGTCCTAGATTTGATGGTAGTATTGGAGGTGCACCATCTTTTTTTTGTGTGTTCCAAAGGTATGATACTAATAACTGCAGTAATCCATGAATGTAGGGTGGAAGAACCTGTTCCAACCTTTGAAATTTTCTTTATAAACTACAAATGGTTTACTGATACTGGTAGTCTTTATTTCTGAGCTGACACATCCCAGCAAATATATCCAGTTGCATGACAAGAATATCTGCTCTGGAGTGACATTGTTGCAGCATAATACCTCCCTAGCTGCCAGGAGAATGACTGCATCATTAAGGATGGGCAGGGGTGCAAGGAAAGATACACAGATACTAGTGGTAATAGACTCTTTAATTAGGATAGGTCAGGGTAATCTTCCAACAGGATGGTTTTTTTTACCAGGCGCTTGGGTTCAGCACATTGCAGATTAGATTTACAGATTGTTGAATGAGCCTGGGGAGGACCCAACTGTAATGGTACAAATTATAAAGTTAGAAGAAGTTGGAGTATCCCTAAAAATTATTTTTTAAATTGATATCCTATTCTTTACTGTGTGGCTGGTTCACATGTACAGGTTGCAGTTTAGTGTGACAGAAAAAGGGCCTGTTTCGATGGCTTTTTGGTGTCTGTCCATAGCATTTGTTTGACATCCGTTTGAGACACTTTTGACATCATTCAGAATTGGACAGATCCATTTGACTTGCAGTTGACCTCCATCTGACATGTATTTGGTCTGCTTCAAGTGGGTTTTGCATTCCCATAGACATGTATGGGAACACAAAAACTGCTTGAAGCGAACAAAAGCCCATTGATACAGTCCCAAAGGGAAACTATGCAGTCCTTTTCACACCAGCAGAAAATTGTGAACCCAGTCTAAAGTAAAACAATTCTATCAAGATCACTACTTGCAATTACATCACCTATGATTGTAAAAGAAATCCAAGCTTTCTTAATGAAAAGAGAGTATTTTTTTTTTTTTTTTTTAAAGATAGTATTGATTTTTAGCTGTATAGTGTTTTTAGGCACCAAGAGGTTATCTTACCAGTGCTAAATATGAGAAAGGAGACAGTCCTTCCTAAAGACCTAATATGGATCTCCAGGCAAATTGTAATGAAGAAATTGAATTGCCTTAAATTTTACCTTCCCACAATTTCCTGGGTAATAAATAGAATAGGGGCACAATGTCACAAAAATAGGCCCGGCTCTGATTGCACAGTGCTTTTTACTTAAACATGTTTTCAGACAAAGAACTGGTGGCCCAGTGTCCATGTAGCTTATGGGAAATGTATGCCAGTTCATTGTCCAGTGAGTAGGCAGCTGTCGCCTTGCAGGCTATGCAGTATGGAAGGAGTTTTAAAATCACAAGAGCTGGTGAACAGATTTACAAATATTTTGGCAGGTAAACAATTCACATATGTATTTCATCTTTGTAGTGTGCTTGGGGTTTAGAGCTTATGTAGGAGAAGTCTCTAAATGTAATATCTGCCTCAGTCAACCAAATCTTCAAGGCAGCTATGTAATCAGGTTTTCACAGTGTTCGCCTGTCTCTGATCCTTAAAGGATATCTAAACCCATGAACAGAAAAACTGATATATTGCATCTTACCAGGCATTAGCCTGAAAAAAGAAAGCAAATACTGCCACCGCATTTAAGAGGTTTTTTTTTGCAAGTAAAGAAAAATGCGTTAAATCTTGCCAGAAATGCAGAAACCTTGTCACTTCCTGTGAGCTGAAGAACCTGAAGCATAAAACAGTCCAATAATTTTTCTAGTAAACCACTAATCTTTCCATGCTCCATATAATGGAAATGGGGCAGTTAAAGGCATGTTTTAAAGCAGTAGTGAATTCCACTTTTGAAATTGTACCTGCAGGAAAAGGCAGGCCATAGGTTAGTTGAAATCCAAAAGTTTTGTCAAACGAAAATGGCTCATATGGTTGTGCCATTAATTGTTTTCATTTTTCTATTAGAAATCCATCATGTTGGATCAAGCCCTTTTGATTGCAGCATGAAAATCGCATGTCGCAGTTGGCATGCTAATGATGTGAAAAAGGAACAGTTTGAAATTTTCATTCATTTTTTGCATCGTCTATGGAATGCTAAGCCTGTAATAAGGCTTACCTGTACATACAGTGAATATCTATCTTTTAAACACCAAAAGTTTAGTAATCACACTGGATGCAGCCGGTGCCGTCCCTTCAGAGCTCTGTGCCATAAACCATAACTCCTGTGCGCATGCGTGGGAGTAACGTCGTCGCAGCTCAGCCATTCAAAGAACCGGAACCACCGAACCCAGTGGAAGATGGAAGCCCTGTCAGCAGTGATGGCGCACTGCTGGAGGGCTTCGTTCTAAAGTAAGTATTTCATAGCATGCTAGTTAGTACAAACATAGATTGAGGAACAAACAAGCATTTTCATTATGATGGCTGTAGTATATCACGTATTTATAATTTTGAAATTGGTGCTGTTTTGGCAAAAAAAAAACACTGTCAAATAGCATGGCACTGATGTACACATCTGTTTGGTATGTTATGCTCTGTTTTGTAACATGGTTTGTATTTTCCAGGTAACATTGTCAAGATAAACATGGGCAGGATGTTGTTGTCTGAAGCTACAGCTGCTATAATGGCCAAAGGGTTTGAAATCTTGGGCATTAAACCAGTCCAGAGGATGTGAGAATATATTGAGCTATATTTCTTCAATAAATGCAATTGTATCAGATGTCTACTTTCCAAAAGCTGAAGAATAAAATTCTTTAATTTACTTCATTCTTACTTTTTTCTTAATACTGAAACATATGAAACACACTTTTGTAAAAAAAAAAAAAAAAAAAAAAGTATACCCTGCTGACTGAGCTGCTGCACAACCACTGTATTATATTTTCCAAAGTGCATCCTTTACATTTCAATCTGCAGTGTTTTTGCTGACACTAACAAAAAATTAAAATGTCCCTTTTGTGGTGGTATTCTGTACACTGGTAATATATTATTATTACAGGTACTTATATAGCGCCTACAATTTACGCAGCGCTTTCCATATATATTGTACATTCACAAACCTGGAGGAAACCCACACAGGCACAGGGAGAGAACATATAAACTCCAGGCAGGTGGTGCCGTGGTTGGGATTCGAACCAATGACCCTAGTACTGCCAGGGGGAAGTGCTAACCATTTAGCTACGGTGCTGCTTCTATGCTGACATAAGCATCTATATTAACCAACTCAATACCACTGTACGTACAGTTTATATACGGCCTCATATTGAGGTGCTCCTACCAGATAGGGAATTGCAGGCAGAAAAGAATGATACCAGGATTATGTTGTAGCTGCAACCATGATTCTGGTATAAGTGATCCCACCACCTTTACCATGCTACTAATGCAACTGTCCACATCAGGTGCACTAGACAGAGTGAGAGGACCTTCAACTACCACTCTGTGATGTCAGAAACTGGAAGCAACAAGGATTTAGTCACTTCTGATTTCAGTTTGTTTACAAGCCATTAACCGCTTATAAAGCAGCCAAGCAAACCAATCTTAGTTTGATTGGCTGCTTTGGAGGGCATAGGAGAGATCTGGGGTCCAATAATCCCCAGATCTCTCCAAAAGGAGGACCTCTCACGACCCATGCTATTACAATAGATGTTGTTCATTCCTTGTGATAGCAATAAAGTTGATCAAAAAATAAAAGGTACAGTGTAAAACAAAAAAAAAAAAAAACGACAAAGTAATTTTTAAAACATTTTTAAATGGTGTAAACGGTAATCACACGACGTGATGGTATCACTGTGAATGTCAGAGTGAGACAATGTTTCTAGCCCCGTAACAATAAGCTGGTGGTAACCTGTTAAGAAAAAAAAAACAAAACCATCCAGGCGCATGTGCAATTTAAAAGCACGACATGTTTGGTATCCATTTACTCGGCGTAACATCATCTTTATATTTTACCAAACAATTGGGTATTATAATGTGATGATGTGTAATAAAATTCATTAAAGTTTTTTCCCCCTGAAAATTTGCATTTGATAAACTACTGCGTAGATATCAAGTGACATATAAAATTGCAACATGCACCATTTTGTATTTAACCAGGGCCTCTGCTTCAAAAAAATAAAACCTCCAAACATTATATAGAAAATTTCTAGCAAAAAATGCTTTGTGAGAAATATCAGAACTGGCCCAGTTTTGAAGTGGTTAAACACCTCTCAAAATCAGTTTTCCAGCTTATAGATTTTCCCAAGGTTGTGGAGATCTCCACAAAGTAATTTATACAGTACAAACCCTGGAATAGTAGGTCAGTGAGCTGCGTAAAGCGGTATTAAACTCAAAACCAAAATGTAATATATTGCAGCTTAAAATTATTAGATGTGGTGGCTGCATTAGTTTTATTTTCTCATTTTTATTCCTTTGCTTTCACCTGTTGATTTGGCCAGTAACACAATCCCTGTATTAGAGTGTCTACACTGTGGATGGAGGAGCAACATTTGAACAGCAGCATTGTTGGTCTGGGGGGAGGGGTGTGTTTAGATGTACTAGCAGATTTAAATACACTAACAAACTGTGAAGCCAAGCTCCAGATAACACTTTTTAAGCAATTACCACAACAGTTTTCTTTCCTTTGAGACAAACCATTTAACAATTACAGGGATGCTTACAATGGTCAGCTTTTTATTTATGTAAAACCTTTATCCCAAACAACAGACCTACTTGCAGGACGACCAGGTGAAAATAAAAGAAAAACAAATGTAGCCATCACTGCATAATGCAGCTTTTGGTTTAATACCACTTTAAACAATGGCAGATCCTTTCGCAAACTGGTGGTTTGTGAAAATCCAGCGGGAAGGGATTTCTAGAAAAAAAAAACAAAGCTGGAATTTCAATGTAACAGAAAAAAGTAAAAGCGTAACCAAATCTATTAAGTTCACACTTGAGCGTTTTGTAGCTTCTAGCTCGAAGCTCAAAAACACTTGAAAAGCAAAAGCCTATTGTTTTCAAGAGCCCGTGTTCATATTTGAGCATTCTGAGCAAAACGTCTGTCGCTCAAAAAAAGGACATGAGCTACATTTCAGGAAGAATTGAGCATTTTAGTCCCCATATACTTCAATGGAAACACCTGAAAAGCGTGACATGAGCGATTTTGTGTGTTTTTTTCAAGCACTTTGTTGCACGTTTTCTGCTCAAACAGCAGCACTCCAAACGTATAGTTGAAAAACGCTTGGAAAAAATGCCTGAATAAAGCTGCAGAAACATTCAATTCTGCTCCAAAAAAACACTCAAAAAATGCTTGAAAAAAATGTGACACTTAGCTTTGAATTTAGCCTAAATATGTAGTTCTAGCTGGATTTGGATTCTATCCCTAACTGTTATGAGTGCATCATCTTTGTTTTAGCAAAACCTCAAAATTTGGAAATGGCCTGTTATCAATTGGGTTGCACTCATTGTATAAAATAAAACCAACTTAAAGTGGAGTTCCACTCAAAAGCGGAAGCTCCACTTATTTGCCTCCTCCACTGCCATATTTGGCACATTTTGAGGGCCGTGGGGGGAGTGGATACCTATTTTTGACAGCTACCCATTCCCACTTCTGGCTCAGTTTGCCACCGCGAAGTGAGCCAGACGTTCGGTCCCCTCCTTGCTCATGCAGTCTCCTGGGCTCTTTCACAGGTCCCAGGAGACTGCCGGACCAATTAGGAGGCTCACACATGCGCAGTGGGCACCAGGCTGTGAAGACGCAGGCTGTCACAGCCTGGTGCCCACAGTTGACATGCCAGGGCCGTGAAGGGGAGAAAGGACAGCGCATGTGAGAACATCGCTGGACTCCGGGACAGGTGTTTATTAAAAGTCAGCAGCTACAGTTTTTGTTGCTGCTGACTTTTAATAAACACAAAAACAGCTGGAACTCCGCTTTAAAGAAATTCTGGGGGGAAAAAAATAGGGGGCTGCAACAGCTGACCGCCTCCTAAAACCATTGACACTTTTGCAATCATGCTGAACTTCATGCCCCCATGCTTTGAATCAAAACAAGTATGTAGCAAGAGAACTCAAAGCTCAAGATCCACTTTATGCAATCAGGTCAGTGAATGTGGATCACAAATCGCCACATTTGGGCAATTTTGCACTCTTGTATTAGAAACTTGATGGTGGGGGCGGAGCCTGGCTATGGCGGCGTGGATGAGCACGGAGTGAGTGCTCCCTGATGCCTCCACCCTACCTCGGATGCCTGATGAGATGGGGACACTGAGCCAGGGATTTGTCCGCTAGTAGCCGGGTCTGCGGTCGGCGATCCGGGCTGCGGCGGGGAGAGAGAGTGTGGAGACGAGGAACGCTGAAGGAGGTACGACCCAAGGAGAGGGGCTGCTGGGAGGACGAAGAGACGGGGTGGGATCACATGATCAGCCGCAGAGGAGCTCTGGTAAGGGGAGAAAGCCGGCCGGTGGCCGAATAAGGAGAGAGACGCTGATGCTTCTTCCCCCCCCATTCAGCACTCTGGTACTGTGACAGGACAATGGTTAGTGAGCCCCTGGCGCCCCTGGGTGAAGAGATGCTGATTGAAGAGGACTGGGAAGTGAACTGCTGGAGGAGAAGCCCAAAGGAATCCCCCTGAAGAAAAAGAGGATAAAAGCTCATTGTCAGAGGTCCATGCTGTCTTAATAAACTCACTGGAGAGAATCATATGGAGAGGGTGAGTGTGGACAGTTTGGGACGGTAAAAAATGCACAAAAGTATACTGTTGCTGGAAAGATAAAGAGGATATGTAAAAGGGGGGGATTCCCTGGGGGAGTTTGCAAGTGACCCAAATGTAAAGAAGAAATAAAAAGGAAATAAATTGGAAAAGTGGACTAATTAATAGAGGATTGAAATTTGAGCCCCAGGCCTAAGGTGTCTAGACTTTATTGTGGTTCCAGTTTTCTTTAGGCGAGAGTAAGGAGAAAAGAAGGAGGAAAAGTCGAGCCTAAAAGATGAAAAACAAAAATATGAAAAGTAGTGGGCCAAAGGGGTCTCAGACGGGTACAATAAAAAAATATACGTCTCAAGGTAATATGACCCCAGAAAGGTCTCAAGTGATTGGGGAAAAAAGTGAACTGGAAATAAGTCTGGAAGGTAGCCCTAAACCCCTGGGGGGAATACAATATAGCAACCAACATACAACAGAAAATTTGGAGATAAGAGAACTAGAAAAGGAGCTACAAGTACCAAACAAGAAAGAGATGGCAGATATGTTTAAAAACTTGGAAAAAACGATTAAGCAAGAACTGGTAAATATTCGGAGTGATCTGGGGCAGATATTATTGAGGGTAGAGGAGACGGAGGAAAGAGTTAAAAACCACACCCAAGACATTTCTGAACTGGAAAAGAGAACAATTGATATCAGGAAAGAACAAAAGAAACTACTCTATAAGATGGAGGTACAAGAAAATAGAGACAGGAGAAACAATCTCAGAGTAAGAGGAGTACCAGAGACCGTAAAGGGAGAAGAGATACGTAGTACAATATGTAGAATTATAAACTCTATATTGGATAAACTAGAAACAGAAGTGGTGAATCTTGAAGGTGTATATAGAGTAGGAAGAATGCAACAAAGAGGTGGAATAGAGAAACCAAGAGATATAATTGTCCAATTCCAGACAAGAGATAAAGAAGAGATTTGGAAAAAGACAAAAGGAAAAGCAAATATCA